GAATCTAAAGAACTTAATAAACTGATGAACAGAATAGATTCAATGACATGGAAGCATAGATGAGACTGATGAATGTCAGAGGGATGGAGGAGGGCGGGTGGGTGGAGGGGGAGAGAGTAACCAAAGAATTTATATGCGTATATGCACAACCCAAGGACACGGACAATGGTGGGGAGAGGGACTGGGGAGGGGGAAGGAACGGGGTGGAATGGGTCATTGGGGAGAAAAAGGGACATCTGTAATATTTTAAACAATAATAAAATTAAAAAAGAAAAAGAAAAAAAAGTCAACTCTCACTTTTAAGTTTACATGAGTCAGTTTCCCAGTTCAAAACAGTCAAACTGGCTATTAAAATAAAAAGAAATCTGTTTTGCCGAGAGTGTTCTCGTCCCGGAAAGTGTCTGACTGGAAGTCTTCTTGCCTTCGGGTCTCCTTTCCCACAATCTTTGGGCCGGGAAGAGCTGAGGTTGTCTTTCACTACGGTCCTCTGCACCGGGATAAGACTTAACTCTCTCCAGCACTTCAAAGGGGTGAATGGGTACAAAGAGGCAGCTTGAGGGTGCAAATGGTAGGTGATTCTGGAATTTCCACAGGCACTTTTAATCATGTAGTTGTGGTCACAATATTTTTAAAGTGCTTTAGTATTTAACTTAAATTAATCCTTTTATTTTTTGTTTTACTCTTATTGACAGATGAGAATTAGCATAGTTCTTTGTCTCCATTTTACCTTTCTTCCTGACTGAGTAAATCTATTTAACTTCAATATTTTTTTTTCTTGAAGACTGAGAAGATAAGACAATCACTGTTATCCTTTGAACTGTATCTAATTTGTCTTCACATAATTGATAGTCATGCCATTTTAAAATATGATAATCTGATTGGTTATGCAATAAGCATATGAACCCAAAAACTTATTAAAAAAATCATGCTATAGACTGGAATTCTGTTAGATGATACTATTTCAGATTCCTTGTTTTACATTCTAGAGTTGGCTTCTTTATTCTTGTGTAAATTAGTTTTTGCTTTTCTTTGACATAATGACATTTTTATGTCATTTCCCCCTCCCCCAAATTAAAATTAATCATAATCTTTCAAAGAGTTCTCAATTACCTTTCATTTTTGACTGACATCTTACTTGCCATAGTCCTCAAGAAATCAATGAATGTATTAGCTGGAATTAGACTTGGCACCTGTCTCCAAGGAACTCGGCTCAAGTTCTTGGTAGCCTTAGATGGAATTTTTAATAACTTCAGAAGATATTTTTTTAAAAAACAACTGTGTACTCTTAAGTCATTCCTTCAAACCTATGTTTTTTGAGTTCCCAAATAGAGAATTAAGGGTAGAATAAAACAAATCTGACCAGAATTAAGAGTGTTAAAACATTTTTACAAAATGTAACAAGCTAATGATTCTTATGAAAAGAAATTAAATGGTCGGTTTAGTTATCTTCTAAACACAAAAGAACAGTGTATTTCTTTTTAGTCATAACGCTACATTCAAGGGGCAAAGAAACTAGGAAAAGATGGTGCTGAAGAAGTCTATAGATATTCAAGAAATTTGGTCTTTTTCTGTTCCTAAACTACAGAACATTTTGTTTTTGTTTAGAGCTCCAAATAAGTCACACACAGAAATCTCATCTCAGACTAAAAATAATAATTAGATAAAGAATAGAAAATAGTTCATTCTGAAAGACTGAGTTGGAATCCTGACTCAACCATTTAATAGCTCTGCGACTTTACCTTTCTGAGTTTCAGTTTCTACATCTGTGACACGGGCATAACACCACTAAAACCAATAGGGTTGGTGGGAATCAAAACAAAGGAAGCAGGTAACACATGCAAATTGCCTGGCTCATAGCAGGCACTCAAAAAATGTTCATGGACATTTCCCTCCTTCCTGACCTCTATGGAAATTAAACTTGACAGATAAATTGTGTTCTTTTTACTATCAAAGCTACTGTGGTGAGGGAAAAAGAAGAAGAAATAACTAAATGAAACTATAAATCTCCTTGGTCTAAAATTTTAAAGTAAAGAAATAAAGCTGGTTAGAAATAGAAAGAATGATGAAATTATAAAATCCATATGAAAGTTACTATTGATCATTTCCATTTTCCTTTTGGCTGTGATGATGACATATTTCATATTTAATGAGGGGAGAAATTACCCAACTTTGAAAAGTAAAATTAAAAGTGTGTCATAAAAACAAAAATTGCTCCATTTCCAGATGTTTTATGAGAAAACTATTTTCAAAATCAAAGTAAAGCCTTTTGGTCATTTATCTGAGAAGAACTGTTTAAATGCCTACTATATGCCAACCACCATACTAAGTGGCAGAGGGTATACAAAAGAAAGTGAAAGAACGCTTATTAAAGGCATAGTACATGCCAGGTGGTATATTAGTTTGCTAGGGCTGCCATAACAAAATACTACCAAATGGGTGACTTAAACAACAGAAATTTATTTTTTTCACAGTTCTGGAGGCTGGAAGTCTAAGATCAAGGTGCCAGCAGGGTTGGTTTCCTGAGGCCTCTTTCCTTGGCTTGCAGTTGGCTGCCTTCTTGCTGTCTCCTCACATGGTTCTCCCTTTGTGCACGCAAAGCCCCAGAGTCTCCCTGTGTGTCCAAATCTCCTCTTCTTATAAGGACACCAGTAGGACTGGATTAGGGCCCACCCTAACAGTCTTGTGTTAATTCAATCACCTCATTTAAAGGCCCTATCTCAAAATATGGTTACATTCTGAGGTGCTGGGAGTTAGGGCTTCAACATAGGAATTCTAGGGTAACATAATTCAGCCCTTAAGAAACATCATCTCACTTAAACAATGCCCTTAGGCTCTAAGAGAATAAATAACTCATCAAATGTCAAATAGCCAGTGAGTGGTGGAAATAAAATTTTACCCAAGATCTCCTTATAAGAACACCAAAACCTATGCTCTTTCTGATATTCACACCTTCTCAAAGAATTACAAATCTAGTTGGGAAGACATAATACCGATTCATAAAACTTTAAATATGGGTGTTTTTGAGAAGGAGCCACTGATTCGCTGGACTTGTGCTATGTTATATGGAAAGAACGAACTCAGGATTAATAAACATTTATAGAATATTTATTTCATGTTAGGCTGAGTTCTTTCACAAGAGTCAATTGGTTCCCTTACATGAGGAAGTAATTGCTGATTGGCAAACAGTAACAGTCTTAGTATGTCTTGGCCCAAAGCCTACAGATGACCCTAAGTCAATGTCAAGTACAAGGGGGCTTTCTAGAATAAGTATCTTAGATACGACTGTCTAGTAGATCTCCTTTCTTCTGCATCTGGGTGTAGGCTCTGTGTAGGTACACAGGTATGAAACCCCTGATCTGCTTTATAATATTCCACCTCACTGGCAATCTATACAATATATCAGTGGGCTTTCAGCTGGATAGCATCTCAGGATGAAAGGCAAAAGCCCCGTGGCTCTGTCTCTTGAGACTCCCACTTATATGTCTAGGAATTAGTGTTAGGCTAGCTTGTGGAACTGGCACCTGCTTCATGCTCTGAATGAACTGTATTATTATTTAAAGTTTGGTAAAAGTACTATTCTAATTTGTGCTTTATTCTCTACATTTTCTGGATCTATATTCTGTGTTAAATTGTAATTATATAATTAGTAAGTTAAATAATTTACATTCCCAGATTATGTTATAATGTTTCCACTTCAGGTATGCACAAGGCATATGTCTAGAATCCTAATACACACCAACTCTTATACCAAAACTGTTGGACTCCTGAAAGCAGGAAATAAAGCTCATGTGTGAAAGATGTCCTCCCTCTACCAGCAGGAAAGAAACAAAGAAAGCCAACTGTGGAAAAGTGACGAACACATATGGGGAGACTAAAGGACGGTAAGAATCATTTTGACAAGACCTGTTTTATAGGTTTCTCACCTCCTCCTTGGGTAAGAATGCAAACCTCATACAGGCAGGCTGCCTTTCGTTACCCTGGGCTGTGAGCACGCAGGCCACTTCTCTGGGCCTCCATTACCCTACGGGGTGCCTGCATACGTGTAAAAATCTGATACACATCGCTTATTACAGGGGCCACCAGAGCCTCCCAAGGAGCATGAATTACAGGGATGCATTACTTTGCGTTTTTTTGAGGTAAATTCTTTGAATACCAATTACACCATTTTCAGAAAACACGTACAAAAGCACATTTCAAAGTCTGATCTGATTTTTAGTATTATCCTACTTCTGCTTCTCTTCTACAGCATGAATAATTAAGAGTGTTCTTTTTAAAATGTATTTTAAAAATGTATTATTAATAATGGGAATTCAGTTGTGATTTTTCAAGCCGTCTCAGTTGAGTTGAGCGGGATCCCCTCTCATCTCCACCAGCTGGTGCCTTCTACACAATAACATAAAACTGGGGATACGTGCTCAGGTTGAGAATAGCTCTGACTCCTGCATTTCTTTTTCCTCAAGCTGGGTATCCAAAGACAACTCAGATTTTCAATTTAGACATTTTTGCTTTCAGGCCCAGGACCACCTCACTCCAAGACATTCTCACAGTACACATTATTTCCTGCCTGCTGTCCGATGGTAAATCACTGACAGGTTCACAGCTGCAGTTCTCACAGCTGGAGGTATACTGAAAGAGTGCCAATGCAGGCCCTCCCAACCCAGAGGCTCGGTGAGTACCTGTGATGGACAGTCCCGTGATCCCCTGGAGCCCAAGGAATACCTACCTCGAGCTTCAGAACATCATGCTGAAGTTTGCGCTGAAATTCCAGGAAGTTTTTGATCGTCAGCTTCCCTTTGAGATCAGCTCCAAAAAAGTAGGTTGTGAGGGCTGAACACAAGCCCGACTTGAGGGTGTTGCCAGTGGTGGGACGGTCCCTGTGACGCATACCCATGCTGGTTTGGGAGCGAATGATGCTCTGAACCTAAGAGAAGCAAACCCCATCCAGAAAAACGTTACAAAGTGGGAAAACAGAGAAAAGAAACATAAGTGCCTATTGATTATTTCCTGTTTGCCTACACTGTGCTACAGTTCTTTCCTTTAATGCTCACAACAATCCTATGAGAGAAGCCTATGATTATTCTTATCTCACAGGTGAGAAGTCTGAGGCACACAGAGTTAAGTAACTTGCTCAAGGTCAAGTAGCTAGCAAGCAGCAGAACCAGGATTCTAACACACATGCCTGATCCCTTTATAATTGGGACCCTCCTAAAAATCTCTCTTCAGGAAAGGGTATGCATTTGTTTTGAGGCTCAAAACCTCTCTTACTGTAAATAATTATCAGCCTCACAGTAATACCTTCCATAACTCAGGAGAACTTTAAAAATTTCACAATTTTCATTACTGACTCTATAGTTATGATGAGAGACAGCACAGCTATCTGCACTTAAATATGTAACATGCAAGACAGATAACATTTATTAGAATTTATACATGAAATACAAAATTGGTATGAAATAATTCTCCAAGAAAACATGGGAAATTAGTTCAATATCTGAGAAGTTTTAGATGTGCTTTTTGAGAAAGGATAACTTTTGGGACTACAACTATGGCCTAATTATACATATAAAGAGCGTTTCTGAGGCAAGCTGATAATTACTATAGCTTTTTTTTCACTAGTTCCTGCAGTCTTTTCTACCTCTCTACAAGCTAAAAGCGCCAGTTATTCAGAATAATTAAAATTGGATTTGTAAGGGCAAATAATACAGATAGCCTTGATATTTAAATTGCCAAATAAGAAAAGCAAAATACTTAGAAACTTAAGATTTGTAACAATGAATATACCTTAGTTAAATGTTTTTAAAATTTTATTTTACTTATTATCTCTAATCATAAAAATATTTAAGACAATTTAAAAGTCTCTGGCTCTATAAAGAGTGGAACAGTATAATGGAAAGATACTAGATGGGGAGTGAGGAGACACAGGGTCTGATTCTGCTGCTCTGCAGTGAGAGCAGAATTTATGCAAGTCATTTAACCTCTCTGAGCTTTACTCTTCTCATTGGAAAAGTTCACAGAGTACATTATCGCTAAGTCTCCTTATAACTAGGTTAATATCATGCTTTTTAAAAAAAATTTTTAATATATATATCTTTATTGATTTCAAAGAGAGGAAAGGAGAGGGAGAGAGAGAGATAGAAACATCAATGATGAGTGAGTCATTGATCGAGCCCGAAACCCAGGCATGTGCCTTGACCGGCAATCGAATCCTAGGTTGACGCTCAACCGCTGAGCCACACCCGGCCAGGCCATAAATGCTTTTGATTATGACTTTTTTTCTGGGTTCATGTTTTATTTATCATGTAAGTATGACTGGTTGACATTTTTATTGATTGATTTTAATGAAGGAGAGAGGGAGGGGGAGAGAGAGAGGGAGGGAGAGGGGGGAGAGATAAACATCAGTTTGTTATTCCACTTATTTATGCATTCATTGGTTGATTCTCCTACGTGACCTGACTGGGGATTACACCCACAATGTTGGTGTGTCAAGACAATGATCTAACCAACTGGGACACCCTGCCAGGGCCAAGATTGGTTGACATTTGTTTCTCAGGCATGTAGAGACTTGAAAGCCGGGTAAACAATAGATTTTAAAATTATTTAAGTTGATGTTTTTAGACTTTAAATTGAAATACAGGATATTCAGAAAAATGTTCCTTATATTTGAAGGCAATACATAATTCATTTTATCTAAGTGTGAGAACTGAAGAATTTTCCAATAGCAGTGAACCAGTATTGAGCATCAGCATCAGGACCTACCATGATTTAGATTTTGCCTGTGTCTATAAATATTATAGCTTTTATAGCCCTGCTATTGTAGAAACTGTATGTTAACTTCAAAGGTGTGATGCTGAGAGTATCTGTGCAAGTGATTGAGGAAAAAAGTGCTTTCAGGGAAAATTAATGCTATAACATCTTCATTAATGATTAATAATAGCACAGTACAAATACCGTAGCACTTAGGTGCAAACTATTACTATCTATTAGTGTTCTTTCATTAAAAACTTAAAAAAAACCCCCGTATCACTAGATTTCGTGTGTGTGTGTGTGTGTGTGTGTTTGAGAGAGAGAGAGAGAGAAAGAGAGGAAGAGAGAGACAGAGATTGATTGTATTTCTCACTTGGGAAATATTTTCTTCAAATATTTTTATTTAGATAACTTGTTAATGGCACAACATGAGAACCAATCAANCCCCCGTATCACTAGATTTCGTGTGTGTGTGTGTGTGTTTGAGAGAGAGAGAGAGAGAAAGAGAGGAAGAGAGAGACAGAGATTGATTGTATTTCTCACTTGGGAAATATTTTCTTCAAATATTTTTATTTAGATAACTTGTTAATGGCACAACATGAGAACCAATCAAAACATATCTATTTGCCCGGCCGGCGTGGCTCAGCAGTTGAGCATCCACTTATGATCCAGGAGATCGTGGTTGGATTCCCGGTCAGGGCACATGCCCAGGTTATGGGCTCGATCCCCAGTAGGGGGCGTGCAGGAGGCAGCTGATCAATGACTCATTATTGATATTTCTCTCTCTCTCTCTCTACCTCTCCCTTCTTCTCTCTGAAATCAATAAAGACATTAAAAAAACCCCAAAACATATCTATTCAACCATCATGTGAATGCTTACTATATGCTATACGCTGTGCAGAAAAATCAGGAGATATATAAAACATGGTCTCTGAAATAAAATCTCATTCCTTTTCTTCTGTTTCACAACTCCTAGCTATCACTTCTCCTACTTTCATACTAAAAAAAATTTCTGTCATGGCTTGGGTGAATGTAGCACAAACAGTTAACATCTTTTGCTAGGTTAGTTCTACTTTATGATTTGTTATAAAATGGGTTAAAAAAAATCTGTGTGATAGCAAGGTCAGTGAAAATCACACTTACAGTTGATAAATGCTTTTTAGTAATTTGTGCTTAGTCATGATCAAAGTGATTTTGGAAAAAGATGAATGTAAGAGTAATAGTTTGCTCATGCAACATTAACTCTGAAGACACATGATGATGAAATGTAAGATGTCCTCAACTGGTTCTGTTTAACTTTTTTATAAGCTTGTCAAGTAAATACATGTTTACCTGGGAAATTGGAGCAAAGTTTGAATGTTTGAAAGCCTGGTGTACTTTCAACTTAATAAATTATATTTCCCAAGAAAGTAAAATGTAGAAAGATGAAGGAGAGAAACTTCTGATTGCCATTCACTCCTGAGCTGCCTTACAATTACCTTTTGATTTTCTTCTAAAGAGTTTTTACATCAGGTTTCATGTGATCGATATTATACATAAGTTTCATCAGGTTAACAAGGCCAGTTATCACATTAGATGGAATTACCATTCCCTTCTCTGACAAGTGAACAGAATGGTGAAGTGACTGCTCCAAGATATTCAGCATGTCAGCAGCAATGCCAAAAATAAGACCATGTGACCTAAATTCAAATCTAAAGTTTAGTGTGTATAATAGGAGTAGGGAAGTCATGGCAATGTTGCTCCTGAGGGGCACCCTAAGTAATTTCTTAGGCTATTTCAAAACCACATTTGTTCTTTCTATATTTTTTTTCTCTCCATCCCTTCCCTCTCCCCTCTCCCACTTTTATTTCTCTCCTTCCTGCTTCTTAGGCCTGCCTGAAGCCCTCTCTTGGCATTTGATACTAAACAGGTCTCAACCTACTTCTGGTAATGGGTGAGTAGCTCCTTTCAGGCTAATCCTTCCTCAGATGACAATTATAAACTATGGACAAAATACACCAAACAACTAACCGAAGGCACTAGAGAGTGATCATGAGCAGGTATTAGAGGAGAGAGGCTAGCACTTTCAGCCTAAAGGTAGTCCCAGTCTGTATGAGGAGGATTGGTATCCTTAGTTTTTCTGGCTTGAAAAACCAGAGGACAGACTTTGGAGCAACTATAACCATTGGAAAGTGAGGGGAAATCCTAGAAAGAAGAAATCCAAAGAGAAGAGCCCCAAATTCTATAAATAAATTCCAGCCAAATCCAGTTAATCCAAGAGCCTGCTACGACAAAGCAAAACATTAACACTCTTTAGATAAATATAACCAAATCCAGATTCTGTGACATGGCATTCATAATATCCAGACTACAACCCAAAATTACTTGACATATTAGGATATGGGAAAATTTGGCTCATTCTCGAGATAAAAGGCAATCAATGGAGATCATTCTCTAGATGACACAGACGTTGGAAATTAGCCAACAAGGATTTTAAAGCAGTTATTATAACAGTGCTTAAGTATAAAATATTCTTGTAATAAGCAAAGGTGGGACATTTCAGATAAGAAAGAAAACTATATAAAAAATGAAATGGGAGTTCCAGAACAGAAAAATGCAACATCTGAAATAACAATTTACTGGATTGTTTAACAGCAGAGACGCTGTAACTCAAGAGTCAGCTAACATGAAGATAAATCAATAGAAATTACACAGTCTGGTAAGTAGAGAGAAAAGATTGAAAAAAAACAAACAAAAAAACAGAGAGCTTCAAAGATTTGTCAGGCAGTGGTCTAACATTTGTGTTACTGGAGTCCCAGAAAGAGAGGTGAGAAAAAATGAGGCTAAAGAAAAAAATTTAAAGAAATAGTGGCCAGAAACTTCTCAAATTTGATAAAAACCACAAATTTATACATACAAGTAGCTCATCAAATACCAAGAAGGATAAATACAAAGAAAAACACTCTGAAATACATCATAATCAAATTTCTAGAAAACAAAGATAAGGAAAAAAATCCGGAGAGCAGAGAGAAAAACAACATATTATATACAGGGGAACAATGATTCCGCATAACCAGTGACTATTCATCAGAGGGAGTCAGGTCATGAAACAATAACGGAGACTTTTACATCAATATCTAGAACTCTATGCTAGAATTTCCTTCCAACAGTAATGATGATATAAATTAATTAACCAACAAATGTGCACTAGAAGAAATGCTACAGAAAGTTTTTCCAATGGAAGAAAAATGATACCAGATGGAAACAAGGATATTCAGGAAGGAATGAAAGGCATCAGAAATGGTAAGTACGTGAGTAAACATAACAGAGTATTTTTTCTCTTGCTTTCTTTGAAAAACATGACTATTAAAACAAAAATTATAATGTATTATGGGGTTTACAATGTACAGTAGTCCCCCCTTTTCTGTGGTTTTGCTTTCCATGGTTTTAGTTTCCCTCAGTCAATCATGGGCCAAAAATATTAAGTGAAAAATTCCAGAAATAAGCAATTCATAAGTTTTAAACTGTACACCATTCTGGGTAGTGATGAAATCTCTCACTGTCCGGCTCCATCCCACCTGGGATGTGACTCATCCCTCTGGCCGGCGCACCCACGCTCTGTCGGATACCTACCCGTTAGCTACCTGTAGCCATCTCAGCTGTCGGCCAGACTGTCATGGTATCTATCACAGTGTTGTGCTCAGGTAGGCCTTATTTTACTTAATAATGGCCCCAAAGCACAAGAGTAGTCATGTGGACAATTTGGATATGCCAACGAGAAGCCACAAAGTGTATGTATGTTTAGAAAAAAATCACAGTATATATTTAGTTTGGTACCATCCACAGTATCAGGTATGCACAGGGGGTCTTAGAACGGTTCTCCCCCGAGAAGGGAGGACTGTTCCACGCAGATGTAATGCACAGGGCAGCTGCAGCACAAAGAATGGAGAAGGGGGTAAATGATACGTTGCCAAGTCTGTATATTTTATGTAAACTAGCATAACACCAATTCTAAGTAGACTGTATATTTAAGAATGTATGATGGACATGGTGAAAATCTGAGTAAGTGTCTCTAGATATTCTGAAATATTTATCTCTGCGTGTTTCTCACTTGCCACTCATCCTTGTATTCTGAAACTGCCTGGAATGAAGGAGCTGTCTGATAAATGCGGCCTGAATATATGATTGAATATCCATGACTTAGCCTCTCAGCATTATAGTTTAATTCAGATTGGGAAATCAGAGCAATCTTGACCTTAATCGTATGCTCAAGTAATTGCTTATGTTTAGAGTTAAAACAAGAAAACCAACATATTAAAAGTGAACGATACATTAGGTACTTAAAGAGTTGGATAGCATCTGTGTCTACTGACCAAGGCCAAAGTAACTCCAAGGCACATGAAAATGAGTTAAATAGTAATGTATTTAAAGGAACTCTCCAAGGCAACTTGCCTGTTCAAATTCCTCCATGTCTACTTCTCCATCTCCATTCAAGTCGAACATCTTGAAGGCAATTTCAAAATTTCTCTGAGGAGCTGCAAGTACAAAGGAAGAACGAAAGGATAGGAGGGAAGGAAGAAGAGAGAGAGAGGAAAAAGAAAAATATTTAGATGGCATTGACAAAAAACAAAACAGTCCTTTAAGAAAAACAGATAAACAATAAAATGTAACATCAAGTCACAGAATAACCACTGTATTTATCTAGATCAACTTTTTTGTCATACTCCTTAAAAATCAAGAGAGAATTTTACCATGGCCAGTAAAGGTAGCATTTGCCTGTCCTTGTGTTTCAATACTCTCTCTTTTTTTAAAAATTAAATTTATTGGGGTGACACTGGTTAACAGGAGCATATAGGTTTCAGGTGTGGATTTCTATGTTACAAGATCCTTATATTGCACTGTGTGCCCACCACCCAAAGTCAAATCGTCTTCCACCATCATATATTAGGCCCTAACCACCCCCCACAATACTCTCTTAAATACTTCTGCTTTGCTTTCTTAGACACCATCCTCTTAGATGTGTAATACTAAGGTTGTTGCTCTGTTACTTAAATATAATATCATTTACCTGGGCATGAGAGTCTGTCCGGGGTGAGACATACTGCAAATAAGTTGAAACTCTAAGTCTTGTCTTGCTTTTTAAAAACAAGCTAGCTTTCTACTTTCTAATCTCTCCATTTTAAGTACAATCAGGAGTTCAGTGGATGTCATTCTGCCAACAGGTTGCTCTCTATACTAGTTTACTCATGATCATGACAGCTCTGCAGCAGGGCAGGAAAGCATACTGTTAGCTGTCCAGCCCCCTATTTCAACCATGTCAGGTGGGTATACAAATTACTGAGTAAAGTATACTTAAATGTTAAATTTAAGCTGAAGTTTAAAAAACAAGATAAGAAATGCAGAGCCTGAGAAGATGGTATATTTTCTTTCCTTTAAGTGAATGATGAAAGCTCTTTAAGACTTATTGTTCCTAGATCAATGAAAACATAATTAATATACTTCTGCATTAGGATATGTAAATATAACAGCCTTCCTTCCTTACCATGCTAAGTGTTCTGATAAAGAAAACTAAGTAGTTTACTTCATTTCGTTGCTGCTTCAAATTTATATGGCTGTATAGAACTAAAATAAAATATCCTCACACTAATGAATTACATTTTTAGCTAATATAACTTTTATTAAAAAATTTTAAAGATTACATGTAGACAAAAAACGTAAAAAAGGGGCTTAGCACATTATGCACAGTTATAGAAAGTCCATATTCCCATCTTGCTCAGGAATTTGTCAATAACAAATTGAACTTCTAGGGTTAAATTCCAGTTTCAGCTCAAGAGGCAGCTAGGCTGGTAAGCTCCTGGTTTTTAGTTGCAGGGATAAATGATGTACCTGTCTGCTTCCAACTGCCTGCCTCACTGGCTAATGGCCTCCAACTGGTCTGCTCTTCTTTAGGCCACAAGCACAATTGCTAAGAAGGAAGCAGCTGGGGGAATTCGATTTTCGTATTAGTTATTGCTACCTCTTACATTTTTCTGTCTAGATGTTACCTTTTACTATGTGCCAAACACTGAGCTGGAAAATTTAAAGCTGTTGCTCATCTGATACTGTACTCTGTCCCGAAAGTCTTTATTTCTTTATTTCTGAATCAGAGGAGGAAACTGGGGCTCCAGGCCCGTGAATGGCTAGCTCAAAGCCACCCAGCGAGTAGGTGGCTGAACTGGCAAGTGAGCTGAGGCCAAGGCCTGCTCCGCAGCCTGCAAACTTTCCCTGACGCTCCATGGCCTCCAATATGAAGTGGCATTTGTAAGAATAAACACATACTCTTTATCCTGATATGCTCTAACCTAGACACGAAACAACAAACATGACTCACTGGTCACATCAGTCTCTGCAACAGCTGAGTTCTAAGTTGTTCATCTCAAAGACGCACCTGATGTCAAAGAAATACTGCATGTGCCACGCTCAGCAGTTTAGACTTGGCTGCACTAACTGGGGACCTAGTGACAACATCAGGTTCTCAGACAGGTTTGTCGAGTGTTTTTAAAAACCCTGAATATGAATGTCTTTAGAGAGGACACTCTCCATTCTCCCCCAACGGTCCCACACTCAGCCGCTTCACTCATAGACATTGTTTGCTGATTCCTTGCAGATACTTGAGACTGTAACAACTGCAAACAATTTGAAGCCACTGCAAGTTCGAGGCAGAGAAGTCACACAATCAAACAGGCATTTATGAAGGACTTCTCTGGCTACAGTGTGAAGGATGAGTTGGGAAACAAGAACTAGCTGCAGAGAAGACCACAAGGTCTTATAAATGTTAAAAATATGAACTGAGATGATGATGGCAGTGGTAATGGAGAGGAGAAAACAAATCTGAAATAAGAAGGCAGAAATTATACAACTTAATGATTAATTAGCATAACTGCTTAGGCTACCGGGCAGCTTGCACGTCATTAACCACGATATACAATCGATGTAAAAGGTTTGAGAAATGAAATGAGTTCAGATCAGATCTGCTGAATTCAAGGGGTCAACAGCATATTCGGATGAAAATGTTCAGGATATAGCTAGAAATATGGATTTAAACTTAGAAGAGAGGGGTTAAAGCTGAGAGTCTTCAGTGTAAGCATGATGAGCTGCAAAGAGCTTGAAGTGAAGTTGCCCAAGGAGGGCCGAGGGTTGAGGAGAAGGCTGAAGAAAGGGTAGGATGCAGCTGAAAGAAACCCGAGAGGAAGCATGACGGAGGAGGTGGCGTCACAACAGCAGGAGGCGTGCAGTCCAAATGAACAGAAACGGGAAATCTGGCAAGAGCCAGTCAATGCGCTGCCACGTATGAATTAAAGCAGCGTTTCCATTCCTGTCTTCCCTGATAACACAGGTTACACAGTGCTTCAAATTTCAGCTTCATCCAATCATTTATTCTTACAATCGTGTTAGGGCTGTGACGTCATGTGGCCATATCATTTAAATGACTGCATGAGCTCCTCTAGCAAATCATAGTTCATATGTCCTCTTACAACTAAGACATAATTCAGTTTACCAAATAAAGCACACCCTGTACTGCTTAAGGCTTCTCTGTCCTTGTATCCTGGCCTAGCTGCTTTCAAACAGAGCTTGTGCTGTATGTGCAGCTACTCGGAGTGTTTATTAAAGTACCTGCGCTGACATTCCAGAGGCTGAGCCCACATGCGCTGGTCACTGATAAGGCAAGTCAAGGCAGCGACCTTGGCACTGTCATTTAGGCTTTCCCAGCCCACTGGGAAGGTCCCTCTTCCAGTGTAGTTCTCTCACCTATTCAGTCTTCACCTACTGATCCTGTCAAAGTATTTAAGACAGACAAGCAAAAACCCAGCTTGCTTTAAGTGAAATATGCTACACAGGAATACGCCGTTAGGCAATTCTCTTGAAATTCCGTCTCCTCTTAAATGTAGGCTTCAGGATAATTCTGAAATCCAGCTGCTCTGGAAAGCTTTATGATGTCTCGTGTTTACGCTAACTCATAATCTAATTCTCTTAGAAAGGTACTGAGAAAGGAATTCTTTTCAATCCCAGGCTACTTATAGAATGAACAGTGAAGCTTTCCCCTCCCCAAGTTAACAGCATAATCCACTTCTTTATGATTTCCAAAATTACCTTGTTAGAATTGATTAAAACAGTAAAATTCTATACAAAGTTCATTACTATACAGCTTTTATTCAGAATTCCATGACACTCTGTGCTACTAGGAAATGGAGATACATTAGGGTCTGTTCTAGTTAAATATACATTTTCATATTATTATACCATTAATAATAATAATAACTCTAGACTGTTTTTGAAGCACCGATTTTTCTACTTTGCTTTAGAAAAAGAAAAAAGGCACCTTTTTCTATGTGTAGTAGCAACACCACCAGCTGCCCCAAGATTTCATGGCTGTTTCAGTGACTGCTCTTTAATAGAAACTGCACACAGTAGGGCTCTAATTCTGGCTCTTCCAACAATATGATGAGTCATTATGTTTTAAATTCTTTTTTGGTAGTACTGATGGAATGAACAAAAATGAATAGGTTAGCTCTGGCTGGTATGGCTCAGTTGGTAGGGGTGTTGTCCCATACACCGAAAGGTCATGGGTTCGATTCCCTATCAGGGCACATACCTAGGCTGGGGGTTCAATTCCCTGCCCCAGATGGGGGTGCCAGTGGGAGGCAGCCAATTGATGTTTCTCTGTCACATTGATGTTTCTCTCTCTCACACACTCTCGATCCCCCTCTCTCTAAATCAATAAAAATGTCCTCTGGCTAGGATTTAAAAAAAAAGAATAGGTTAGATTCTTATTTTCTGTTGGTTAGATGCTCCCATCACATAATTCCTGCCTACACCATTCCTGTTTTAAAATAATGCTGTAAGGACAAATGTAAGTTTTCAATATCTGAGAACTCCAAGTTAGGACAATACTTTAGAACATAATTAACTTCTATTCAACGATCAACCGCACCACTGCTTTTGTAAGGATGATAACATAGCCTTCGATTATTTCTGAGAGGAAGGTCACCACTTCTGAAGTCTAACCATGGTTGGGATTATTAATCACAGAGCCCAAATCTAATCCTGTGCAGCTCTTATAAATTGTCATGGTATAATTTTCTAGAGAAATAAAAAATATTTCTGCTTCCTCACTTATTTGACAGCCCTCTAAATACATAAAAAACATATTCTCATGTCTCTGTAAAGGTTTCTCAGAGCTTACTTCCAGAACGTGAACGTCCTGAGCCCTCCCCGGGGTAGTGCAGATAGTCAATGCCTACCATAGATACAGTATCCTAAATATAGTGACTCCTGGAACGAATTATCCTTTCTAGAAATAACAGGACTGTGTCTTTGCAGACTAATGTAGTAGCATTATTATATGAGGCCTTTAGTATATTGCTTTCTACATAACATTAGGCCTAGAGAAAGGGAGAGAGAAAACTTGAAAGATTAGATTTCAAAAAAGTGCCCCTCCCTCAATTCTTCAAAGTGTGACGGCTAGGCACGGTCTGGAAGAAATCTTCCTGCACTT